AAAATTAGAGCATTCCTTGATGAGAAGGTTTTATCGCTTTCACTTAAGTTTTCATTTTTGGTTATGGAAGCTTTGGGTTGTTTGTTGTCCAGGGCGGTTCATGGCGGTTTGTTGCAGGGACTTGAGGTGGATTATTCAGGATCAGGCCATTGTGATGATGACATGTGTCAGATAGATTATGAAGATGATTTTGTGATTGGAGTATCAGCAAAGTTTGATTCTGCTTTACTTTCTGATGATTTTAATGAGGTAACATATTTCTTTGATGCCCTCTAACAAATATAATATTTGTCAGCATAGTAACCCCTAACAACCAATGGTTTGTTGTTTTTGTTAATCTAGAGTTTTAATCCTATGTCTGAGCCTAACGATAATTGGACATGCAAGTCTGATGACACTCCAGAGTTAGAAAGTAGAGTGAACTTATTTTTTGGTCAAACAGTTAACAAGTCTGCTGACATCCCTAGAGCATCAGGTAAGGGTAACAATGATTTTACATTTCCATGTGGGCCCTTAGTAGCTGAGGATGATGATGATGAAGTGCTTGTGGCGAAGTATGGTTTGGGTAGAGGGGGGTGGTGTTCTGGAAGCGTGGGGCTGACACATGGTCGGGGTATTTGGAATGGCATTTGGTTGGGTTGGGAGGCATTTTGGCATCGGGTTCGGTTGAAGGTTGGAGTGGGGTGATTCTGCAGTTGTTAACGTTGCCTGTACTGCTAGCTTCGGAACTTATTCCCAATGTGTATCAAATATTGGCACTGAAAGTGTTCAAACTCTGTCGCAAGTACAACCACCTAAGCCTAGTGAATGGAAAGAGATTGTTCGTGATGATCAGGAGCTGATTAATCCAAGGTTTGTGAGTAGATGTTTGATGCTTGCTTTAGTTTGTATTTTCTTTTGGTGGACCATGTTTTCTTTCTGTAAACTGAGAATGAAAAATGTTTTACTGGCAGCACAAGCTTCTGTGAGAGAAAAAGAATATGGGAAGAAGAGCTTTATGAAGAGCTTGAAAGGAAACGAGGCAAGTGAAAATTTACCTTATATTCAAAAGATTATAAAAGCAAGCTGTTATGTTTATTGTGATTTGCTTGCTAGTCTTCAGGATCAGCGATAGTCTACTCTAGGTCTAGCTTGTTGCATTCTAGGTCCTGTGAGATCAAATCATTGAAAATCTCAAATTAAGTTCTGTTGTGAAACTGCACAAAGGACAATCTTGCATCATGCCATTGTATACCTTAACAAGACATGTAGAACAATGTTTCAAAGGTTTTGGACCTCTTTTGATTAAGTGGAATTCTTGTGTGTAAGGTTGTTGGAACTCCTGTTACAAATTGCAGAACACAAGCAACAAGAAGTCTGTGGCCTAGAGAACTCTGTTTCAACTACATATGGTTCTTGGGAAGAGGTATTGTGTTTGCTCGTTGAACATGGGGCTCTGATTGTAGTTGATATATATAGTACCACAATCATATATGCTTACATGTTTTATAAAATGTTTTATTCTGTTTATTTACTTGTTTATTTTTTGTGGAAACAAATTTTTAATCTGATATGGGACAATTAGTGAGTTGATTTCAGCTCAGGTTCATTGAACTTGGGGCTTTTGACTGGAGTTGCAAGTTCTAATTTGGTTCATTTGAGTTAGTGATGCACAGCTGGAGGTTGAACGTTAAGAGTGCATAGGCTCCACTCATTTTGTTAATATATTTGGACCCTTAATCGAACCTTATTTGTTAATCTATGGTTTAGTTTCATCTGCGAGGAATATTGCTTGGTTAGATGATTAGTCTTGTATGGATTGATTTTTATTTTTTTCCAAAATCATGAACTTCAATTTTTACTTAAGAAGTTAAGCTGGACCTCTGGCTTCAATTTGTGCTTGTTGCAACAACGAGCTGGGTTCTACAATGTTTGCCAAGCTTGTTGAGCCAATGCTGAGTTGGTGAGCAGTTCTAGATGAGCACTGTAGTAATTATTTACGGTAACCAAGGGTTGAAGGTAATACACCTTTTTGCTAAATCGGAAAATTTGGTTAAGACTCCACTGTTGATAATTTGATGCTCTTGAAACTGTATCTTCCCATTATGGCGTCTGTGCGCAAATTTTATTTGGTGATTATTGAACTTCCGTTTTCGTTTCTATCTCATTTTCAGTAGTTGCTTGCTCTTGTTTTGGCATTGTGCATTCATGTCCTCAGTGTGGAGGCTATGAAAGTTGCATTCATGGATATGCATGCTTTTTATCAAGCCAAAAAAAGCTCTTTTTGTTCATAACATATAATAATATACTTTCCTCCTGCACAACCCAGATCATGCACAATCTCTTGCATGAAAATACATTAAACATTAAGGCCATATTTGGGATTGCTTTCATTTTTTATGTTTTTGGTTTTGGTGAAAATAGAAATAATGAAAAACATTGAAAGCACCTATGATTTTTATATGGTTTTCACTTTTGTATGAATTTGTTTTCAAAGATTTACAAAGCAATGTAAAAGTAATTCCTAAAAAAGGGGTGTGTGCAGAATTTTTTTCAAAAATAGTCTGCAAACAAGTTTTGTTGTGTCAGTTTTCGTTTTTTCTATTTTCTAGAATAGAAAATGAAAACAGTACCAAATGTGCCCTACTTGTTTATTTGGAACCGTTCTTTTCTAGCTTGCAAGTGTTAATTTATTTATTTGTAATTTATATTTTATCACAAATCATGCAGATCACCATCTGGGTCAGTAGTATATCTTTTCATGCATATGCTGAGATTACATTTTAGAGCACATCTGATGTAAGTATTTACACCTATCTTTAGCCCGATTCTAGCTTTGTCTTCTGATGGTTTGCAAATGATTTCTATACCTTAACTGTTATAAGGGAGGCAAGGGGGATTACAGATCTGAAATTTGCTTTCCAGGTAATCATGGACCACCCATCTTAACCTATTCCCTTGACATCCAATATATATTTACTCATTGAATTCTGATCTTTAAGTCATTCCTTACAGAATATTTTTCCTTGGAATATTGTTGAGAAAAAGGAGGATTTCTTTCAACGGAGTGTGATTATGTTAAGTATGTTTCGTCAATGACTTACCTTTACATTTGATGCTTTCTTATTTTGTCTTCTGAAATTGTGTTATCTTGGTTGCTAGATTATTGTTAAATTTGATATTGTGATTTTTGTTCTTTGTCACAGATCTATTGTCTCGAAAGGGGAGATATTGCAGCAAAACACCACCAATGCGCACAACAGTGATTCTAACAGTTATTTGAAGACAGATTGTTCTGATTTGGAGGTGTTCTTTAACGCCTTTGCTATATTATTGTTAGTGAATAGAGTGTTTTCTTTGTTTTGCATTTCATGGATTTGCTATAAAGACTTACTATGATTAATGATACTGAATCTTGGGTAGTTAATAAAAGAAATGTTTGTAAAATGACTAACTGAAATGAGAATATTGAGATAGATGGTCTTTCATACAATGGTTAAGCTTTCTTGGCATGCTATCTACTAAAGATAGGATCAAGGATTGGGGTGTGGTAGATGATATATCTTGTGTGCTTTGTAATGTGGAGATGGAATCACATAATCATTTGTTTTTTCAATGCTGCTTTTCCCACTATGTTTGGAAAGAGATTTTGTTGAGTAAGCATGTGAGTAGAAAGAAACCCTATGTCCTTTGTAGCTGAGATTGATTGGGTAGTTCACAATATAGGTGGAAAGTCTTTTGGCCATTCAGTACACAAATTGGCAATAGCTGCTACTATCTATCTTGTGTAGATGGAGAGGAACTACAGAACTTTTTCTCACAGAAGGACTGATGAAAATTCAGTTCTAAATAAAGTGATCGATGACATAAGAGCAAGATTATATTCATGGGAGAATATAAAATAGTCATACAAATAACAAGTTATGTTCTTCTTGGGGATTTCCCCAACAAGGGTCAGTATTGGATGAGATGAAGGAATAGCTAAATACTCGATAGCTAGTTGATAGTTCTTTTATATGTGTAGTTTGTGAAAATATCTGTTCTGTTGAAAGCTACTAGGCTGTTGATCTTTGTTATAACTGGTTTGACTGGAGGATGCCCCTGTAAGGGTGTATCTATTTGTTTTATGAAATGAAATTTAACTTACGAAAAAGAAAATTAAAAATAATAAATGAATTCAATATAAAGAAGTTAAAAGTGGCACTAATTGAAGATAAAATGAGGTAAATCATTGGAGATTTTATGATCTTATGCATCATAGACCAATTAATGGTCATGTAAGGAGTATTGATTTGATGCACATAGAGGGTGACAAAAGAAATGTAGGAAGACGCGGGAGAACTTGGGTTGAAGTGATAAGAAATGACATGACTATCGTGAACTTGACTAAGAATGTGACTGTGAATGGAGCCAATGGCAGGAAATTGATCCATGTAGCTGGCCCCAAGTAAGTAGGACCAAGGCTTGTTGAGTTATAGACTTTCGAAAATGTCTTGCCTTTCAAAGACTCCTTGCTAGTAGACTTGTTCCCTCGTTCGTTCTTGGGAAGATTAAGGATGAGAACATACTCAATAAATCCATTTGCATCTTCTCACCCCCACCCGCAAAAATAATAAATAAGTAAACAAAAGAAAAACAAATTCCCTCCGTCATAGTTGCTTTTTAGAACACAGTGTAGCCATTACGCTTGAATTTTTTTTGCTGATAATGACAGTTCTTATTTTCTTTTGATTGTCATAATTATGGTTTCTTTCCAATTGGACCAGGTTATTCGGGTTGTGGTGGGAACCATGCCTATTGGGCACCTCTACAGTCGATTGGTACCTTTTGTTCTTATCCTTGTAGATGGTAATTTTTCGCCTCTATGCTTTCTTATCACATTCCTTGTAATAAAACTGAGCTGCAATTTTTAACCATTCATATCATTGAATCACGTAGCAATCCTATTGACATTATTGATCCAAGATGCGAGATTCTTCTCATAGTTCAAAAGAAAATTGATCTGCAGGGCGGCAATCAACTTAGATTGCTTGGTTTTGCAGCGATTTATCGTTTTTACGATTACCCCGACAGTTTGCGCTTGCGGCTTAGTCAGGTTTACACTTTTTTACATTAATAACTTGTTATCTTGAATTAAACAGAACCTGGATTTGGGGGTTCTATGATGCGTGTTTGATATCTTTGATTTTGTATGTCAGTGGAGTTTGAGAATTGCTTTTTTAGAAACTTTTTTGTTGGCTTTTTTTCGTCTTTAGTGAATTTTTTAGTAAAACATTTCAAGAAGCCTTACACTTTAGGTTCTACTGAATTAGACAGACTTGAAAAGTAAAAAATTAAAAATAAAAATTTAGTTGAAAGAAGTTGACTTTTTTTTACTTTAGTTAACCTTTTTTTGTTGTTGTTGTTATTTTGACCTTTTAAATCATTCTAGACTAAATAGATTTGAAAAGTAAAAAAAATTGAGAAATTTTTTTAAAAAGTTTCAAAAAAATTGGAGTTTTTTTTAGCTTATTCCAAAAAAAAGATGCGGTTATTTCTAGCATTTGATGAGATTTCTATTTCTATTGTGGGCAGATATTCGTATTGCCTCCTTACCAGCGCAAAGGTTACGGCCGTCATCTTCTAGAGGTGCTTAATAATGTTGCAATTTGTGAAAATGTTTATGACTTGACAATTGAAGAGCCTTTGGATTCCTTACAACACATGCGAACATGTATTGAGGTGGGACGCCTACTTGTTTTTAACCCAATCCAGAAAGCCCTCAATTCCACAATTTTACGTGTGAATCAAGAAAATCTCTCAAAGACAAGCCAAACTTAAGCAAATCGACAATTTCATGACTGTCATTTCAGATTATGTTAGAGCTAAGGTCATAAGGAAGGACTCGGGGGCTGCAGAGAAGCGGGTGATTGAATTTCCAATAGATTATGATCAAGAAATGTCATTTGCACTACTAGAAAAATAACTTTTTGCATATAATTATTTGACCGTTGCAAAAAAAATTATTTGCAACGGCAGATTAGCCGAAGCTAAAACTTATGAACCCCAGCCTAAGCAAAAACTTGCGAACCCACTATGCCCAATTTATATTTTCCTTTTTTTTTAAACTCTAATTTCCCCCAAATCTAATTTCGCTCGATCGTGTCTGAGTAAGAGAATCTGATTTCCCTCTCTCGATTTCGCTCTATAGATCACCATGGTCGTCTGAAGAAGAGATCTCCAACGGTATAAACTCTCTCTCTCTCTCTCTCTCTCAATGAGTCTCTTTGAATCATTCATTCATATTTCAACTTTTTCATCTCTCTACTTCGATCACTTGAACTCACTGTAATTCGTATTCAACTTCTTCATCTAAACTCACTGTAATCCAATCACTTTTTCATCAATCTATTGATTTTTCCACCAGGTAGCCTGATTCTGGAATCAAGCTTTGGTTTGAATCAATCCTTCCTCATCTGCTACAAGTACAAGTTGAACTATTCAATTCTTAATTGTTATCGCTTCACCTTCCAATTCTCACCTCTCTCTCTCTCTCTCTCTATATATATATATATATATAGCATTGCTCTCACATGCTTGCTTGTTTTCACCTCCTTGGTTGTAACTAATTGTGATCATATGTCATATAAGAATTGAGCATTTTTTTGTTTGATTTGCTGATGTCTTGCTAGTTGTGTGTTGTTGTTTTATCGAGACAGTAGAACTGCATTTCCATATGTATGTATTCTATGGAGCTACAACTAAATAGAAATAGACACTTGATTTTTTAATTTATTCTGTATAGTTGAATTGTGCCAATCCAATAAGGTTAGATGTTACTTTAGTCCCGGTCCCAATGTTAGAGAGCTTGCATCCCTGAGGGCTAGCTTGAAAGGGTAAGTCCCCAGGAAAACAATCAGAGCTCTTAAATTTGAATTCCTACCTCTCTCTATATATAACGTTAATGGATGGTTATATTTGGAGTTTTATCCTGGGTCTCACCAAATGTGGGATCAAGGGTTCCTCGTTATCTATACTATTATTAATATTATTATTATTATATACATACAACTCTGTTAGTGTGAACTATTACACTTATTTCCAAATTATCCCAATATAACTATCTCATATTTTGATTTTGAGTTTCAAATTTTGATAGCCTTTTCAATTTATTTATTTATTTTATTTTACATTCAACTGGTTGATTTCATAACACACCTATATCTATGGTAACACATTCACAACTTTGCTTGCATCTGTAATGTCTATTGGTTATGAGCAGAGCACCCTTGCATTTCTGGATTCCTGATATCTTGATGATAGAAACATGCAATTTTGCTCTATGTTGGGCAGCAACTAAAGAGATTGTTTAGACAATCCAATTTTTTTTTTTTTTTTGGGTGTCCTTTTCTTCCCTTTCTCATTCCTCTTGCTAAAAAAAGAAGATCATTTTGCAGTTTTTATAGATCTTTCACTTTCACTGACAAGGACCAACCAAAAAAGAAAGAAAAAGAAAAAAACTTAATCAAAAAAGGGGCATTCCGAGAATTGAACTTGGGACCTCTTGCACCCTAAGCAAGAATCATGCCACTAGACCAAATGCCCTTCTATATTAAGTACTTTATCTATTTTATATATCATGTAATTAATTAGGTTTGAATAAACAATGTTGTGCATCTATAACAGATTTGCTTGTTCAAATAATGATGACAATTCCAGAATGCAGTAAATAGCATCAAGGAGTGTTTTTAAGCAAACTTCTTCAATCCCAAGAATGACTTCTAAAATCATAAAATATCAACGATGATAAACTATGCATATTTAAATGTATTGTTCATCTGTTAACGTTATTGATCCAACAACTATAAATAGTGATCTCTAATTCTAGAAAAATATTCATGTTAAACATTAGGTTGGGCATTACATTTTATCTCTCTTCTGTTTTTCATTTTGTGAAATCTTTATGTGCAATTAATTGATTCTGTTAATTTGTTAAATATTGATGTTGGGCACGGCCTTATGTGTCCTTGTTACAATATCTGTAAAGGAACACATTGTTTACATACACCATAACAAATCACCAAAATCTATTTCACTAATGTTTCTAAATACTTTTTAGTGTTCTAAAGAAATGTAAACACTGATATTTATGATTTTGTTTTCCTCACAATGTTTCTGAAATATGCACTAATGTAGGGGATCACTACCTAAAACCATTTGTAATATGAAACCGGCTACATGATAACAAATTGAAATAGTGTTTCTCCTAATTAGTCAGGACTGAACTGCGTTTGAAAGTTTTTGTTTTTGAATTTGAGTTGAAGATGCTTTTATTGGAAGAAGGTGGTTTATTTTAGTTCTGTGCTAGTGTATGGGTAGCATTGGAGTGGTTTTTCTAAGAGATTTACTGATTTTTCTAAGTGGTTTTTCTAGGTGATTTTTCCAAATTAGAACCCCTCAATGCTCTTGAAAATGATGTACATGTGCCTAAAACCAAGGGTAAGGAGCATCGACGCAAATCAAAAGTTCAAGATGACAAGAATGGAACAATCTCACTTCCAGTGCCGGTCAAACGAAGAAGGATGTGTGTAGTTGATAAAAAATGCAGTTGGGAGGTTGTGTGCCCCGGCACAGGCTATGCTTGAAATGCTTGGAGCCAAACAGCACAGAAGAAAATGTTCAATTCGGTTCTCATTGGTTGCCTCAGAATACCAGTAAGAACATCCTGTAGTGGTGAAAATAACGCAATTTTTAATTTTTTTTTTTTTTATTTTGGGATATTTCAAGTTTTGATCGGTAATCATTTTATCTATGTTAAATGGTTTCAAGGGAGGAGATGTTCCCTTGCCACAGATATCTGCATGTTACTTGAGGATAAAGTAAGTTTTCTGGTCCCATCACTAATCTGTAGCTTTGTCAGTGATATTTTTCCCAATTGGATACTGTCAGGCCATTTACATGTTTGTCGGGTCATTTTTGCATGTTCTTCTATGCATACTTATGCTTGAGTAGTGTTTGAAAAGAGAAGTTTCTTGTGGCAAAAAAAAAGAAGAAGAAAACGGCCATGGAAAAGCAATGAAAAATAAGTTTTTGAAATGTACTTATGTTCAATAAGATTTCGTATATCTATTCTGTAGATAAATTACAAGTGTGGAACACTTTATGGAGCATCAAGTGGCTTGGGTTTTATACCTAAAGTACTTGCTTTTTCACTTCCAGAACTCCATTAAAAAAATTAGGAGCCACTTGATTTTTTATTTTTGATACCAAAAATAGTAAAGAATTATCTATCATATCAGATACTTTGTAAAATTAATTTATTGACAAATTGTGCCAAAAATATATTCTTGTCACTGACTTAAGTTATCTAATTAAAAGAGGAATATATTGAGGAAGGGCCTAAGGAGGTACACGTGGTGGCTGAGATTAGGTTGAGCCTTTGATTTTGAAACCTAAGTAGGATACAACTCTTGGGGAGAGTAAGAGAGGGGATGATATAAGACCAATGTGGTCAGGCAACGTTGGACTGAGCCAATAATCATCTGGGTAAGATAGTCATAAGGTGTGAGTTGAGGCAATTCTCTTGGACAGAGAAAGGTAAATGGTCCATGCATGAAAGTAAGTCACCAAAAATTTAAACCCCTAAATAAATGTTCCAATCCAGATGATATAAAATTGCAGGAGGGAGGTGGGTTTTCAAGGGTGGGCTGTTCCTTAGTGAAAATAAGATTTGAACGTAACACGGTCTTCATAAATTGTGACCTTGGTTATGAAGTTGGCAATGGACATCTATGGGCCGTTCCTTGAAGATTTATTTGTTGGCTTGGTAGTAATTACAAGAAGTGGCTACTAGCTGTTTATTGATGCATCCATCTACAGTGACAAGGAATTGTCAAATTTACATGATCTAACATGATGCATGTTAGGTTATACATATGCATTTGGCTTCATAAATTCAGATGATTCAACACAAAAGAGCACATTAATACATGTTTGCATTTCATGATTCACATTATAGCTAATAATATCTGGGACAACTCAATACATACAAGAACTAAAATGAATTAAGGAAAAGAAAAGATAAAGGGATGAAGAAAAGAAACATACACCAATAGTATAGCGACCCCGGTCTTTTCCCATTTGATTATTATATAATTGTTGTTGTTGTCTTTTATTTTCTCATTTGGAATTATAGGATGTGTTGGGCAGGTTTGTTTCAGGTTGGTTGGGTTTAGAAACCAAGTGTTGCTGTCCAGGATTTTGGTTCTTCGCTCGAGCAAGGAGTTGGTCGCTCGATCGAGAGATGGCGTCCAGTATTGACCTGTAGCTCTGCATTCTTGGCTCGAGCGAGATTTTCTTCGCTCGAGCGAGTTAGTTTGTCCTTCGCTCGAGCGATGGTTCTTTCGCTCGAGCGTGAGTCTGATTACAGACCTGAGGATTTGAGTTCTTCGCTCGATCGAGTTTTCTTTCGCTCGAGCGAGCTTTTGGGTTGTTGGCTCGAGCAAGGTTTCCTTGGCTCGAGCGTAGCTTTTCTGTGTCTGGTCGCTCGAGCGACAAAGGCTTCGCTCGAGCGAGCCTGTCCAGTTTATATACACAGCAGCGGGTTTTGATCAGTCCTTTTCATCTTCTTTTTGATTCCAAACCCTAGGTCCGACTTCTCTCTCTCCCTACTCACCTTCTCTCTTAGATTTGATCCACTTAGGGAGTGTTTCTACCCTAGATCCTTCATTAAAAAGATAGAGTGAGTCGAGGGCTTCCATTTAATCTGAACATCTGGCAATTTGGAGCACTTTGGTATTTGAGCACTCATCTCTGTCTTCAATTAAAACTGGAGAAAGAATAATTAAATCTTGTATCTCCACACGTACCTGCGATATACAAAACCGGGTTGACTTTCAAGCACTGCCAGACAAAAAGTGTACAGAGAACAGGGCACGTAATTCTCCTGCAATCCTTATTGCAGCAGCGTGAGATCTAGGGGCAGAGAGGATTTCTAAACATTTAGTCGCTAATACTTCGTCACAAAATATCCCAATTTGGTCGTGAAAAACAAAATAATGACATTTTTAACGACAACTATATTTGGTCGCTAAAAGACAAATAACTTTCTCTACTACACTTTTTCGTCGCTAAAAATCAAAGTTGGGATAGCTAAAAATGCACAAAAATTAAATGTCATCCAATCATACAAAAAAGAAAAAAATTGACATCCACACATCAAAAACACTCCATTCCCAAATCATAATGAGTACATAGAAAAGTAAAATTTTACAAAAATTAAAATTTGAAGTTTCCAAAATGTTTGATTCTGCTTTCAAAAAACTTTCAAAAATTGACATATCAAGTTGCAATCTCAAACTAGTATCCTTGTCAACTGGTATGTCATCACTTATCCTGAAATGGTACAACAATTGATATCCAATTCTTTACATATTTTTGAAGGACCTGCAGAATAAGATAATGATTAGAAGATTATACACTTCTACATCTTAAAGAAACACCAGTTCACATTGTCACATTCTCAACTTTTTAAATATACAAGGATCATTCACCTAATTAA